AAATTGACAGTTGCTTGGAGGGTGGCCCAGATTCTTGCCCTTAAAGGTGCTTTGGGTGCAGAGTCATCCCTCATGGAGGCTGGCTTTTGAAATACCCTTGACTGTGCCATTGTCTGTTTCTTTTCTCTTTCCCCTTTGGGACTAATTCAGCTGCACTAGTAGGTCACATACCAGAGTGTAACACACTCCCCCACTGCTCTCCCAAATAAACAGAAATTTAGGCTTACTTTCAGAAGCTACTAGATTAATAGGAAATGCCAGAAAGCTTTTCTCTGGCCTCCTGGTATGATTGAAGATGAGAAACCTTTATTGTCTTTAGTGACAACTTTTGTTTCTTCTTTGGAGGACAGCTGTTCCTGTCTGAGCCACATTTTCTCCCAGGATAGGGATAAAACATTTTTACTGCTATTTTCATACTTTTGGAGAATAACTGGTGATCATGGAGCTCCTTGTTAGTGGTGAGACTGGACAGAAACCTTCTCAGACTTTCATTCATTCAGTTTTAAAAATCGAATCTGGGCCCGAACCAATATGCTCAATTAATATTTGACAAAGGAGGCAAGAACATACAATGGAGTCAAGATAGTCTCTTCAATAAATGGTGTTGGGAAAATTGGACAGATACATGCAAGAAAATGAAACTAGACCACCAACTTACACCATACACAAGAATAAACTCAAAATGGATAAAGGACTTAAATATACGACAGGAAACCATAAAAATACTAGAAGAATCCAAAGGCAACAAAATCTCAGACATATGCCAAAGCAATTTCTTCACTGATACAGCTCCTAGGGCAGTTGAAACTAAAGAGAAAATGAACAAATGGGACTACATCAAAATAAAAAGCTTCTGCACAGCAAAAGAAACCATCAACAAAACAACAAGAAAACCCACTGCGTGGGAAAACATATTTGCCAACGTCATATCTGATAAGGGCCTAATCTCCAAAATTTATAGGGAACTCATACAACTTAACAAAAAGAAGATAAACAATCCAATCAAAAAATGGGCAAAGGACCTAAATAGACACCTTTCAAAAGAGGACATTCAGAAAGCCAAGAGACATATGAAAACATGCTCAAAGTCACTAATCATCCGAGAGATGCAAATCAAAACAACAATGAGGTACCATCTCACACCTGTCAGAATGGCTATCATCAACAAATCAACAAACGACAAGTGCTGGAGAGGATGTGGAGAAAAAGGAACACTTGTGCACTGCTGGTGGGAATGCAGACTGGTGCAGCCACTATGGAAGACAGTATGGAGTTTCCTCAAAAAACTGGAAATGGAACTCCCATTTGACCCTGTGATCCCACTTCTAGGAATATATCCCAAGAAACCAAAAACACCAATCAGAAAGGATATATGCACCCCTATGTTCATAGCAGCACAATTCACCATAGCTAAGATTTGGAAACAGCCTAAGTGCCCATCAGTAGATGAATGGATTAGAAAACTGTGGTACATCTACACGATGGAATACTATGCTGCTGTAAAAAAGAAGGAACTCTTACCATTTGCAACAGCATGGATGGAACTGGAGAGCATTATGCTAAGTGAAATAAGCCAGTCAATGAAGGAAAAATACCACATGATCTCACTCATTCATGGATAATAAAGACCATTACAAACTTTTGAACAATAATAGATACAGAGGCAGAGCTGCCTCAAACTGATTGTCAAACTGCAGTGGGAAGGCCAGAGAGGGTTGGGGGGCAGAAGGGAGGGGAGTAAGAGATCAACCGAAGGACTTGTATGCATGCATATAAGCAAAACCAATGGACATAAGACACTGGGGGGTAAGGGAGGGCAGGGGATTGTCAAGGGCGGGGAAAAAAAAAGATACATATGTAATACCCTTTGTAATACTTATAATATTTTTTT